GTATGTGTTATAAAACAAACTGCGACATATTGTTTCAAGCTATTAAAATTTGAATAATTTCACTCTGACAGTAATTTGATCCACTGAAAGCATTGCTCTCGGTAAATATTTGTATAAAATATGTATGTTTGCGTTAGAGGAATCTTAAATATCATATTTTCTACCAAATACTTATTCACTAAAACAAGTACAATAATTATCGCTTAACAAAAAGCATGATTGATCTCACCAATAACTTTCTTTTACTATCTATGTAAAATGTCTTCAGTAGTATAGCCCTTACATTGTATTAATGAAGACTTATGTATATCTTAGAAAAAGTAAGATAACAAAAATACCGAACTCCAAGGGAAATTTAAAACGGAAAGTCCTATATAAAATGGCAAAATCAAAATCTCAAACACATCTAACGAATGGGATCCAATAACTATGTCTGAAAAAAATTATTTTGCTAGGTCAGTTACTTTTTATGACTAATAAGTGTTTTATGTATTAAACGTATAATAGTAAGTATTTTCTTCTTTCACGTTTAAGATTTGAGATTTTCCTTATTTCTAATTGTTTCAACTTAAAAAGGAAGTCAGCGTTTATCATAATTTACACAGACTTCCTTTTCAGCCTTCATTTGTTTCATATATACTTCTTTATATAAATTTTCATAAACCTACGCAAAAAGTAAATACAAATGAAAATACAATTAGTAGAAATGTCCATATCTTATATTTTGGGTCCTCAATGCTCTTCAACATTATATTTTAATTGGCCTATTTATTTGTTGTTAATCGAGCGTCAATGATGAGTCTTTTGTTCATGAAATGCGCATAGGGCGTACAAAAATTTAAGCAAAGTATCTATGATGAGTTTATTCGGAGTTACATAATTACATTTTCACAAACTGTAATGATAACATCCATTATTCTGCTGGTATCACTTTCGATCGTCAGGAATAATGAGATTGTCCTTGACGACGTCGTTATCGACGACGTTTGATTGTTCTGATATGACATTGCTTTTATTATTAATTCCTGGTTAAGTGTGAGTGTGAAAATGTTTATAAATATATTTATGAGGAAAAAAGTAAATATTGAGTTTGATCTTTGTCGCAGTTTCTTAAACGTGTTGTCTTAAATATTTTCTTACATGCCCACTCTGATATATTTTGGAGTATTTTTGTTGGCGTATCTGTTGTTTGTGTACATAAAATCGCTTGTTAATTCAATGCTATTCTTATTAAAGTCATTGCATGGTATTGCAATAATTACTTGTGGACAAGAACACTTGATATCATATGTTATGGTAAAGGTCATTCTATCTTTGAATCTTAATATGTTGTTCCTTCTTTAATGTAACTACAGGTACCATAGTTTTAGTCTTCCTTTTCTCCTTTCACTTTTGAAATGCAAACTGGTCATATTTATCTTACATGTTTAGCTTTTGTATGGTTTTTACACTGTCGTTTACAACTAATATAGAATCATTTTTTAAGTAAAGTGTTCATTTGCTGATCTGTCTGAAGTACCTGTTAAATATTCCTTCAAGTAAGTTAAACAACTTCTGTGGTCTACCGATTGACAAATGATATGTAGGGTATTACACCTGTTTTATCATATACTCTTGTTTTGTTTCCTCAGATCTTGTTTTTCCAATTGATCTTACATCCTCTTTTCCTCTGTTGGTTAATTTTGACCAGTATATCATTTCCAACTCTATTCGGAAATTAAGAATATATGGAAGACCAAACTTTGGCGATTATCAGAAATGAATTACAGTACAGTACAAAAACAACAAATCCGTCAACCAGAACACTCCAAAATATATCTGAGCATGCATATCATAAACTGCATCATCGATCAATAACTCCATTTTTTTCAACATACAGATTTTTTTCAAGTGTCAACTGAGACCGAAATACTTATCTAAGAAAATAAATTCATGAACACTTGAAAGCCCATACTTAAACGGGAATAACCAATCAAAGTAATGTTATATAAAACAAACAAACATCGCCCATAACAATGTCGTCAACGACAATGTCATTATATATGATGATCGATGGTGAAATCGGCAGTATGATGGACTTTATCGTTACATTTTGTGAAATTTAATTATGTAAATTAGAACATTAAATATTGGCATTTGTTTTTACAGCTTTTAATTTTACTTATAGATCTATATACATTATATATATAGGGGAAAATGATGAAAATGTACTTGTATTTAATATGAATGATTACATTTTGTCGACTTATACAGCAAACCCAATGTTCTCTCAATGTCCTACCGGTTTCACTGTTTCACAGATATTTATGGTAATGGTTGCTAAGCTGCGACGTGGTCAGAGATTACCTGATAGGATGTGATGTTTTAATCGACACAATGTAGTTATTCATATTGAAAACAATTGTTTAGTGAATTTTCAGCTGTTATTTGTTCCCTATTTAGTGTACAGGGTGGACATGTTTAGTACTTTTTATTACATATTAACACAGATGAAGGACTTTTGTTTTGCCGTTTTATTTGTAAATACGATTTCATTTCATACAGTCCGTATAATATTTTATTAATATCTATCAAATCTTTAGACTTTTTTGCAGGGCAGTAAATGTAAATAGTTGTCCAATACCTCAAACACTAAAGTAGAAAGAGCAAGCATGATATGTGCGAGAAGGGCTTGGTAGATTTCGTTCGTTGATATTTTTATGCTTTTGGAGTCTTTAGTAAGGCTTGTTTCTCAGATCTAAACGTGACAACTCCTCCATATTTGGATGCAAGGATATCATTGCAAAAAATCCAGTACTTGTGTATGGGTGCATGTCATTTATATAGTGTTATTTTTATTGAAGACTTTACACTTCCAGGTATCCTTGAATCAAAAATAGTATCATAATATTTAGTTTTCATAAGTCATGAATTAAATTGAATTCTATGTTGATTATGCTGAAAGCTGTCTTCCTTTTTAAGATGAAACAACTAGGAGTCAAACATATACTTACAAATATCCGTTTAATATAATAGTAGATATGAAGTTAATAACTTTGTTAAGTGATATGCATTGAACATCTTTGCAAGATATACATATAAATCATAAGATTTGATCAATACATTATTTTAAGGTATACGCCACTATAGACTATAGACGTTTGTAAATTGATGACAAAAGAAAGACATTGGTGTGATAAATCATGAAATTGTACTTGTTTTATGTTTTTGGTAGACCATTCTAACGGAAGAAAACAACTTGAAATTATCATAGATTTCTAGGGTCGAGTAATACTGGGTAGAGAGATATTTTAAGCTTATCTAAATAAACTCATTATAGATACCATGATTAAAATTGTGTACGCTAGGTGCGTGTTTCGTCTACATAATAATCACCAGACACTCACGAAACTGACATTAGAGCGTCATAACGCACACTTGACATAATAAAGTTTTAAGTATTATTTTAAACATACACATAGTATCCAGATACTATTTGAAAGTTATATTTTTAGTGGATCAAGTACTGTCCGAGAAAAAAAATTGAAATGTCAATAGCCTGAAACAGTTTTTGGAAAAGTATGAATATCTTTATATTCCAGTATGAATAATCAACTTTGACTTTAATTTAGTTCATGACTTATGAAAAGCCACATCTGATAATACTATTTGTGATCTAAGGATACCTAAAACTGACACAAATCTTTAAAGAGAATAACAGTATATAAATGACATGCGCCCATACCCAAGGACATGCGTGGTATATGTGAAGTACTATTTACTGACTAAAACAGAACATATAGGAGGCAATACAGAATCTTCAAACATATAAAATAATTTCTTGTCAAATGTGAAAAATCTGAGATTTTCACACACAATTCATAGCTTTGATAGACTTTTCATTAACATGATCATACATGTATATTCAATTGCTTTAATTGACTTATAGACTTTCGACATACACAGCTTTTTGAGTATTCCTTTCCGATGTTGATAAAAAGAAATGTAGTTATGATTTTTCGCGAGAAACGCGAGTCTTTCCCCAAAATCAAATTCATGTCTAAAAAGAATTCCCCATTTTGACTGGCTTATATCTCTGAACAGGAGACATTAGTGCGTCCTACCAGACGCTCAATACAAATTTGAGTGCACAATATATTATATGGAAAATTGAGCACAAACTATATTTACATCGAGCGCACAAAATATCAAATTGGTTTAAATTTGTAAAATATTCATGTTTCTTTACAAACATATATGTTTGAGCTGCTGGAGCCTCTCCTACACGTTATAAATTTACCTTATTGTTTCAAGATTTCATTGCAAGAAATTCAGGCATTTGGTATGGACGTGTGACATTTATAAAGTATCATCTACATTATCGATTTGTATCCCTGCCAAGTATTCATTGATCAGAAATAGTAGTATATGTTCTTTAGTCAATAATTAAATGGATGTCTATGTTGATTATGATGAATGGTGTTTTCCTTTTTAGGGTGAAACAATTAGGAATCAAATACTTACTATTATTAGTTTACTGCAAAAACCATTTAGTAGTCATGAAATTTGGTAGTGACCTTGCAATACAAAACTTTCTTACTTGACATTAATTGAATATCTATCTAAGATAGGAATATTAATCTTATGATTTCATCAATGCATTATTTTAAGGTATATGCCACTACAGCCATGGTAACTTGACGACAAAAAACAATAATTGGTGAGATCAATCATGCCTTTTCTTAAATAACCGTACAACTTTTTTAAATAAGTAAGTATGTGGTAGAACTATTTTAACTAAAGACAATAAACAGAAATTATCATGGTTTACAAGGGTTGGTAATACATATGTACTGGATAATGTGTTATTTTAAACTTCTTTTAATACAGACTTGACATTATTTGATTCCAAGAACACTAATAGTTGGTCACATCGAAGCACTTATTTGCTTGATAATATGTAATTTAACTACCAATTTCCGTTTTTGACCGAAGAGGTGCTTGTTAACTTAACTATTTATACTGCTGTATTTGTGAAATTAATACATTTACAGTAATTGCTAATCTTCAAACTCTGGTAAGTTTTCACTCATTTGTACCTTTTCGAGTTTAAAATGAAAATTGCCAAACATTTTTTTCTTGTGAAATAGGATGCTCAGATGAATGATTTTGTCTTGTAAGTTTGAGTGTGAAATGTGATTCAATAAAACGCAAATATACATGCATAAATTAATGTAGCAGTAAAAAGTATTCGAATTCAGTTAATAGAAATTAAAGTGGAATTAATAGAAAGTAGAATAAAATTTCCTAACAATCTTATTCATTTATCAAAAAACTTTGTCTTCACAGGAAGAATGTCGTCAAAGCTGTTTACTGTACTTGTGTTAGTCTGTGTGTTCTGGTTAGAGAATACTTATGCCTGGTGGGGTAAGTTTTCATAATGACATTAGTTTGTCGCGCAATTACTGACCTTTTAACCTTTGAAACTTTTTATAGAAATCTCGATTTTTCTCTGTTTATAAGGAACACTTCAACATCTTCAATCTCAAATAAACATCTGTCGAATTATTTGAATCGTTGATATTTTTTATATTTAACCCCCTCATGAATCTTAGTCTTGTTCCTCGTTTCGCGTGCAATACTATAGCAGCATGTAACATCTTTTACACAAGTATTTTTCATTCAAAAATGGTACATTTGGCTAGTCTATCTGTAACTTATAAAGTTAAATAAAAATATGTTGAAGTTTTAACGGCAATACTTTGTATGTTGACTTTGCTAGATATTCAATTGATTGATTAATTGTTGGTTGCTTAATTAACGTCAAATGGCAAATATTGCATGCATGTTGAGGACGAAAAAATATTCAAAGTCATTTAAGCATGACTATGATGGTTCCGTGTCAAATTTATTCGTGTCAATGATGTGCTTATACTAATACAAATGCATACCAAATATCCATAATTATCGTAAGTTGTTTATTTTAAACTGACTAATTCACAATATTTAACATTTAAACTAAGCAATTTAGACTATAACCCCTATATCAATAGTAAATGAATTTTACATATTTAAACTATTCAGTTTGATCTCCACATCATCTGTGAAGTCTCGATAATTACTCAACAAATCATGTTAGGTCTTTCAGTCAATTTTCAGAATTATCCACTGTGGTAAATTCAGTACTGTCCAGACAATTTTGTTTGCAGTCAATTCAGTACTGTGCAGTAATATTTTAGACAATTCAGAATGATGTTTATGTGCATAGATAAATGACACTACTGAATAATTTGAACATAAACTGAACAGACCTTAATTTAATTTGTAATGTAGGTCCTTTAAATTTTGTATTTAAAATAGAGGAGATCTTTTTACAATCGATTGATATCATATCAATTTACAAAATTATCGAGTAATGGGTTTAGCAAACTGCTTGTTGTCGTGCTATATTTCTATTTCTTACTTAAGTTGTCACTTTTAACACAGTATTTAATTGTCTTCCCATTTGTACCATCAAGAAAACTGTTTAGATATGTTAAATGCTAATTGCTAAAGATATCACTCTAACTAACTATTGTATTTTGTGAAAAGTTGTAAGTGACAGTTATACAACATTTCTATTTCGTTAAGCTTTCTTTGGTTCCCTTTTGAACATTTGATGCAGTTGCATTGACGTTAAACCAACCCTTCTTATTAACAAGTCATACATTGTATTTATATCAACTGCAAAACTTTTGTTTTAAGTCAGCTGTAATAAAAAACTAGTTAATTGAGGTGAAAAAGTGGCTCTTCAAACTTCCGAAAGAATACTATAGTAACCTGTTTAAAGTTCATATTTTTGTTTTTTGTTCACACATTTTTCTGAAATATCAGTAATATTTTCTTTCCTAAACATCTGGTTTTTTTTAAATATTTAAAAATCGTTCGCAACTGCAGCTTTCAAAACATATGCATGCCTGTTTCAATTCAGTGCCAATAATAAAGGCCGGCAGACCAAACATATTAAACTGTAACTTACTCAAAACAAGAAAAACCACTACACATGCCTTCTATAGCCTTTTTCTACATTCGGAAATAGTTCAAATCAAACTGTCTCCAATTGTCGTAACCACACTTCCACTCCTTTTCCCCTAATGCAACTAACCGACTTATTAGCGGGTGTGTACTTATATGAGAAACACGACGAGTGTAACATGTGGAGCAGAATCTGCTTACAACCTTTCAAAATTTTGTATTTTGTTATATTAAAGTCAAATAACAATAACAGATTTTAGATTATTTCCATCTTATTTTTTTTTGTACGCCAGACGCGCGTTTTGGCTACCAGTGATAAAAAAAGCGCGTTTCATTTACCAGTGATCAAAACAAGGTAAAAGGCAAAATAAAGTTGAAGAGAAATGAAGACACAAAATCTCGTAATGTTTCACCAGAGACAACATGATACATTTGAGAATATGACCAATATAATACAGTTTTTATTGTAACTCGATAATAGTTAATATAAACAAATTAATACACGGAGATAAAAGCACACTGACAAACAGCACAAGATCACAGATATAACACGAACAGAAGACAAAAGTATTCTGGTTTGTTTATATCATATATTAATTTTAATCTTAATCATTTGATTTTGTTTTATATTAGGCAGAGATAACACTTATGTTGTCAATAGAACAGATCGAACAATAAGAGTATCCTTGGCATATGGTGGTCATGCATACAGAAGAAATGTTGGACCTGGATCATGGACAAAAATCGAAACGGGAAAAGGCTCGTTAACTTTATGCGTAGAGAATGATGTTTGTCGTAGAGCGAGTACCGACACAAGCTTTATCGTCGAGTCATATGGAGGAAGTGTAAGGCTTTACCAGTCTGTATATGGTGACATTCATTCAATAGATTGGTAAAAAATTAACAACGCTGATTTGAAAATCTATATAACCTGTATTTGAAAATATCCACTCATGTTTTATTAATTAGAGAGTGTGTTATCTATGACATATTTCAAAATATCTTATGCAATTTAGAAGATCTGTACTGAAATTAAATATTTGTTTCTTTTAATATTTTTGTTATCATTAAATAATATCATACTCTGCAGAACTTTAAAACGAAAACTTATTTCTAGTGAAAATATAAAACGATGGATAGAAATTTCATACTAGACCTGTCACTATTAGCGATAGATTATTTGCCAAATATTGACTTTCCGGAATGATAGCTCTTCTCCTGTTCTAAATGGTAACATGTATGTACTCTCATTTGTTAAAAGTTTATGCTATTTCAGTGAAATATTACAAAAATGAAATATTCTGAGTGGATTAAGTATCAAAAACAAATTTTGAGAGAAAATTGCCTTGAAATTTGACTCTACCATAAATATTTGTAGGCAGAGCAAGCCATACTCAGTATTTTTGGGAGCTTTTTCTGACTTTTTCTCCTTATTTCCTATATTTTGCTAAAACAGAAAAAACGTTTTTCTAAGTAATATATTATTAAATATACAGTTATTAGTAAATGAAATTATTAAAGAAGCAGCTACAACAAATCATTCACTAAGGAGGAAGCTTTTTATGTCCCTCTCTGTAGCGCGGCGTAAACCTTAGTTTTACATAAGGACTTATTTAAATCTCCATGGAGTCATTAAACTTTATTATGGATTGTTCATTCAGCTTGAACACTTCAACTACTCATTTATTATCATATGTCTTGCATAAATGTGGATAGATACACACAACCTTTGATTTATTGGCCTAAAAAGTTGAAATTTTTAGGAAATTAATGGTATAAATGGACCAAAAGGGACCTTATGATGTAGAAAAAGAGGTACATTAGTAGTATTTCATCTCAGGGTGATCTTTTGTTTTCTATGTTGTGTCATCTGCACTATTATTTGTCTGTTTGTCTTTTTATTTTTGGCCATGGCGTTGTCAGTTTGTTTTCGATCTATGAGTTTGACTGTCCCTCTGGTATCTTTCGTCCCTCTTTTGTTTCATATTCAACTGTTTGTAGGCAGATGGGATGAATATTTATTCGTGTATTGGTCCACACTATCTTCTATCATGATGCGGCGTGATTTGGATTTTTCGAAGAAACTTTGTTCAAATCGATGTAGATGTTGTCTCACATTACACTAGATTTCTCTCAAACTAATGAACTGATTATGACAAAACTTGACAGTAATGCTTGAAATAAGCAGTATTACAAAAAAACGCACATTCAGTTCATCTAAAAAGGTCTTCTTTAGGTGTAATACCACCAAATCATATTACGTCACATCCGTTTCATACGAAAAAGAGTAGAAACAAATATTCCCTTGAATTTGACAGTTGTGGGAAATTAATCTTGATTTCCCTGCCAGTGTTTGTTTATAGGGCTCTGACAGTGACAAAGAATATAAGCCCATATCCCGTGTGAAGCATTTTCAACATTGATTACCATTCTGATTTTCCTTTTTACTTTCATATCCCCTGTCTAGTTAATCAAATGAAATTGCATTTTCACCGGATCATTCACTTAGTGTAATTTCGTGGATAATTTCTGTAGATTTTAGAGGCATTGAAACAAGTAAGTAACATTCATAATAAAAGGTACTCATTTGCATTTATCAATAAAATATAAGCAAAAACTCCAGAGGTTGTTAAGATATATCATTAATTTCAAGACACGCTTAAAGGACCTCATGTGTCTTTTTAAGGTGATTTTAAAATAGAGTATGGGCGTTGCTCATAGTCTAAAGTCGTATGGTGACCTAGTTTTGATAATATTAACATCATTTGAATTTTGGTAGATAGTTATACATTTTTTTTTATGTCTTTTCATTCATACTTAGTTTCCCAAAAATTGTTGCAAGCTATCAATATTTGTATAATATTGATCTGACAGTCATTAGATCGACTAATTACTCTCATTGATCGTTTGTCTAGTTTGAATTAAAGGAGACTTAAATAGGATATAATCTAAGAAAGAAGGGCTAAAGATACCAGAGGGACATTCAACTCATATATCGACAACGAACAGACAATTCTAAAAAAGAAAAAAAAAACAATAGTCAAACAATAGTACACAAAACACAACATAGAAAACTAAAGAATGAGCAACGCGAACCCTACGAAAAAACGGAAGGGATCTCAAGTACTCTGGAAGGATGAGCAGATCCTGCTCTATAAGTGTCACCCGCCGTGTTCCTCATGTTAATACAAACCCGATTACAAGTCTAATTTGGTAGGTCACATTCGTGAAAAGGGGACGGGGTTGTAATTACGACACTAGGAATATATCCGCTATCATCTGTGAAACGGTTATTCAATACCGGTCAACCAACTCGTGATGGGGTCCGTTAAATTAACAAAGGGATGATTTTAATTACACCATTGAATTGGAACTCTTGGTTTTATAGCTTCTTTGTGAACAGCAACCCTTTATCAAGAAAATCATTTTAGAAAATACAAGCCCGAGAATATCGTATCAATTGAGAGATATATACCTCCGGATGCAAGTGCTGCTTGAATGTTGCTACATAGAAATGGAAGTTTACAATTGGAAAGCTAAAATCATCTCTTTTGTCGTAAAGTTAGTTTTAAACCGACCGTCATTGTCAATTTCTAGATTAATGTCAAGATATGAGGCAGACTTAACAGTATCTGTTGTATCCTTTAGCTCAAGTTCGATGGGATCGATGCGTTCAACATAGTCACCAAATTTTTAATTATTTAGTGAGAGAACATCATCTATATAGTGGAAAGTAAAGGTAATTGATACTGCTAATTTCTTTTCTATCTTTAATGTACACAGATAAATAATTGTGTTGTAAGGTATACAGGATAAATGGAGAATGAAAATATTTTTTACAAACTAAATAAATTTGTTGTTCATAGTTCATACAACAGAAGCGAAGATTTATAGTCATACCAAACACTTATCAAAGCTGGTATATATATAACATAGAGAGACGAGATATAACCCTAATTAAGTAAACATTAAATAACAAAAGAAGCCTTACAAATTGTATCAACGGATCAAATTACCAAGAAAGTACGATTTGAGAGTACTCGCAGTTACTGAAAGCTAGTTAAAAACCAAAAACAATGAATGATAAAAAAAATGATGCATCAGAGATTAAAAGCAACTAAAACGCATCCCAGGGATTTAGAATTTTAACGTCATGCATTCAAAGAAGATATGACTTGTGGTTCCCTTTTCCGTTTCCAGTATCCCCTACTTTTGAAATGGGGATGAATGCCCCCTTCCGTGACTCATTCTCCCAAAGAAAGATAATAATCAACAAAATATGAACAACAGATTTAAAACATTTAAAAATTCAACAAAGTATGAAATTGAAATACGAAAGAGTTATCAGACAACATTAACACAACGAATATAAATATTGTCACGATTAATAAGAAAAGAACAATTTATAGCAATATAGAAAAAAGCTGTTTCTTTGTTTTATGGGGAATAACATTCAATCAAAATGAATTATTTTGTCTCGTTTGAATTTTTTTATCCACTCATTGTGTTTTGTGTTGTTGTTTCGTTTTTGTTTAATTTCATGCGCATTACTTCGAGTAGACCTATGTTATGATCACGTGAAATAATTCTTTTTTTTCATTTTCCATCCCTGTATCCAAAATGGGTGGACGTTTATTGATGTTGAGACTGATTTTGCGCTATCACAGTTCGACATAAGCAAGTTCCTTGAACACGAAAAAAAAAGGAGGAATCCTCCGTGTAGTTCAATTTATACGATATCAAAGTTTCAGCCTAATTGCAAAGCAAACCTAGGAGAAGTTTGTACATAGAAACATTGTATGGTTGCAATTACTCTTCCAGTCAATAACTTCGTACATACTTTATTTGATTTCAACATTTTGGGACATAGTAAGCTTTTAAATAATAAATTTTATGAACACTTGTCATATAATTATATTTATAAAACAAGGTGTACGATAAAGTATATATGAACTCATTAAATGCACGTGTGACTTTATTCATAAAAAATGTCCGTTTAACACCCGTTATTGTACATTTCTAGGAATATAATTGGGTAAAAGCAACAGCATGGAGACCGTGTATATTCCATATTAGGTTAGTAGGCGGGGCTCATTTCAATACATGGTTAGTAGTGGTGTTACGTCTCTTTATAGCAAAACGGTACTGAGAAAAAAATCTTAAAGGTTTCAACAAATCAATGATGAAAGATTGAAATAAATTCATAGAACACATATAAAGCTAACACGTTATTATTGTTGGCATTTGTTTTTGTATGAACAATGGAAGTAGTTTCTTTATGTTCACGGTATTGACTTGCTCACTTTGATAGGTCGCTAGTCTATCGTCTAGTCTATCTATCAAATACCACATGTTAAGATGGTCGGTAAGATAAATTCGTTACACAGTGTGGTAGTGACGAATACGTTATTTATTGGGAGAGTAAGTTCCATATGGGGATTGGAGCTTCGCTCTCACCCCATACGGAATTTACTGAACACCATATATATACCATATTAGGTCACTAGCACACTATGTAACTAATAATATTTTCACTAAAAACTTTACACTTCCAGGTATTCCTGGATCAAAACAAAGTACCATAAAATTTATTTTTCATAAGTCATGAATTCAATTGAAGTCTAATTTGATTAACCCGTAAATACAATACACATTTTGATAACTTTTAGCATATCGAAATGTCCTATTGTATTGTTTATTTGTGTATTTCTCTGTCCTGAATGTTCTTGCATTTATTTGTACTGTAGTCCTGTCATGTATTGTTGTCATTTTAGTGTTATATTTAACATTGCCATAAAAGCGCGAGGTTTGGCTAGCCACAAAACCAGGTTCAACCAATCATTTTTTCTTAAAATTTCCTTCACCAAGTCGGGAAAATGGCAGTTATTATGATCATTCAGTTCGTTTCTATGTGTGTTTCATTGTCGTTTGTTTTTTGTGGCGGTTCAGTGTTTCCGTTGTTTCGTTATTTTCCTCTTATAGTTAATGTGTGTCCCGGATTTGTTTTCTCTCAATCGATTTATGACTTTCGAACAGCGTTTACTACTGTTGCC